CTGTCAACATGGATGAAAGTGACCTCAAGCATAGGTGGCCTTGTGAACAAATACATGGCCCTGGTAAATGGGGCATAAGAACCATATCTGAACCAGTGGCATCCAGAAAATGTCAACCCAAACTTTCTTCAAGTTGCAGCGCCAAGGCACGCCTCTTGCCAAGGAATCGCCCAGCACTGCGAGGGTCGGCGCGCGCTGCCTCCGCTTCATTCGATCCCATGAGGCGAGCGCCGAACTCACCCCAGATCCAATTCGTTACCAACAGTGGTCACTGGATTTCCCCGAGTCAAAAGTTGATCCATTTTCTGGTGTCCAGTGAAAGCATCGCCACTTCTGGAGGTCCCAAAAAAGGGCACATGGCTCGGACACCCTGAAAAAAACCGTCCCTTTCACCCGGAAGAATTGTTTTGGTTGCCTACGGCTTGCTTGGGATCCTGGGATCCAGAGGCCAGGAAGTTCGCATCCGATCCGATGCTTCTCGCGGACCAGCTTGGCCACGTTGCCGTAGCGGGTTCTATGAGGCCGTGGTAGGGCCATGTTAGGGCCATGTCAGGGCCACGAAACCCAAAACACACACTCATGAAAGAGAAGCGGCCATTCTCCTTGTCACCCTTTTTGCGCGCGGCAGGCCCGACAGGAAAATGGATCTCCTCCCCTACATACTTCACCTGAGGGATGGGATGGGGGATTCGGATTGAACTGCCAGAGGTGAAGCCGTTGCTGAGACTTGGATGTTCGGCCTTTTTTCTGGTCAGCCCAAGTTACAACCCACTTAGTCTGCCCAATGCAGTTACACATGTGACGAGTAGGATATTCAGGCTCCAGTTACGCGTAGAGAACATCAGCGCCAAGACGGACTGCGAAATCGCTTGCCAGGGATTGTGTTAGACTGCCTGTGGCATGGGTGTCCATGGCCCTGGTAGATCAGGTAAACCAGTAATCGCCATCTATTTTTTCCACCAAAACCACCAAGAAGGACACCAAAAAGGCCTGTGGGGACCGACTCCAACCGACTCACCGATAATAAATCATCGTCTCACGCCTCAAGCACTGCAGCGCCTCGTGTCGGCTCCGGTGTGGACTCTCCAGGGACTCCTCGGCCACAGACTTCAAGGGCTTGCGATAGCAGGTGGTACCCTTCCCATTCTCTTCACTCATCCTTCTCTTCAAAAAATGGGCCAAACACCTGGGAAACAAGGTGGTTTCCAAAGAGAACGATGGGTGAAGAGAATGGGGAATCAAACCTTAGAACTATAGCAGCTGGGATTCAGGGACCTCTAGGTCTCACTTCTGATGGCTTCCCCTGTTGTTGGTTCTATGTAGTGGCTTGCCTGGAAGCGCAAGCCATGCAAATGCGGGTTGGCTGATTTGGGTGGAGCCTGAAATAAGGAATCCGTAAACACGGCCTATTGGAGGTGTTTTCGGCGTCGTTTGGATGGGTGCCAAAATCAACTATAGGTAACAGGCAATTGTATGAAACACCCCAAAAATTGTCCGCGGGAACATGTCCAACAGAAATCATGTCCCTTGTCTTTCCCTTTCCTAGTGGATCCAAGGCGTTTCGACACTACAATAGGTAAGCAGCCATTTTCCGTTTGGTTTGTAAAGGCTGGCAAGCCCTTTTGGTTGCCTACCATTACAGAGAAGCGGAATTACTGGGATAGGCAACCAGGTTTCTCACCTCTAGGTCTTACCTAATGGCTTTCCCTGGTTACCTACAAAAAAGTCACTGGGCTGTCCTCAGATCCCCCGCTAACACAATAATTTTTAGTGGGTCAAAAATTCGGAAATCAGACCACTAGACACTTTAAAAAGACCTAAAAAGCCAAGGAACCGGATGGCAGGGAGCCAAGGTTAGCAGCTGCTTCCCCACGGAACGGTGACGCAACGGAACTCCTGTGTCTCCACATGCCGCAGCTCCAAGCCGAGCACCGCGTCGCCGAATCGGAAGTCGGTGACCAGCAAGAAGGCCCCAAAGGCTGCGAAGCCTAGGCGCGAGAAAACCCGAATGTTGACCTCATATTCCTTGGTTGCTTTCCGCTCTGCAAAAAGTTGAATTTTCAGTGGCTTAATGGAAAACCCGTCAGTTGGCAAAAAGTTAAAGTCCTAACATCTAAGCAAAATGCGCCAAAGATTACTCAACCAAGCAGTTCATTGATAGGGAGTGTCCCTGGGTTTAGTGGGGATTTATTACTTTTGGAGGGGAACAGCGTTGACTCATATGGAGTCAACATTTGGATTCGCACCCCCAACAACTCTTGTGAGCAAACGTTTTTGCAGCCACCAGCTGAACATGAACAGAACCAAAAACAAAGCTACGAAAGTAAACTATGCTGTGGATGATGCGAAATCCGCTTCTTGCACCACCGAGCTCGATTCACCCACCAATGTCTGATTCGCTTCCCCAAGGAAAATGCCCACAAACCTTATGGTTTCATACCCATGGTTTCATTCACCGTGGTGCGAAAGGATTTCGCCATCCGAAGGGCATGCCCACGTGCCGCAAGAACGATTCTAGCTTTGAAGTCCTGACCCTCTCAGGCCTGCTTGAGGCAGACGGTTGCAAAATGACATCGAATTCCACGAAACGCACCACGAAATGAAACCAAGGGAATGAAACCATAAGGTTTCTGGATATATACATAAATGAAAAGGTTGAAACCACAAGGTTTGTGCTTTTTTTTGGTTTTTTTTTGGTTTTTTTTTTTTTCGTTTAATCGAACCATTCCAGGGTTTCTCAGGTGCTGCGAACTGGATTTCGTCCTTCCACGGTTGGAACTTCTGATGCAAGTTTTGATAGAAGGGTTCTGAGAATCATTTTGCAGGGGCAAAAGAAGAGTCTCCTTTGGGGCTGTCCTCAGATCCCCCGCTAAAAGTTTAACTTTTAGTGGCTTAAATTCGGAAATCCAACCACTAAGCACTAAAAGCCCTAAAAAGCCAAGGAACCGGATGGCTGGGAGACAACAAGCTTTGTAGATAGGGGCTTTTTTTTTTTTTTTCGAATTGGAGCCCTTTAAGTGGTTCCATGTTCACCAGCAACTCTCGGGATTGCTTTTGAGGACCTAAAACACCTCGCCATGGTAACTTGAACGTCACCTTGATGGACCGAGATTGCTTACAGCGGAGCTGATCGATGTTGATTTCTTCATCCGATGCAGATTGGCTTGGATGGATTCATCTCAGATGAAATGTGCACCAAGTACATTTAGTTACTAAGTTGAATTCAGGAAACCGCTGAGGGCACATGCCAGAAGAATTGCACGTTGATTGCAAGGAGATGCAAGGACCATGCTAATCCTCCATTTGCTTAAGTCCCCTGGAAAAAGAAGACAAAATCCAGTAGTGATAGACTCGCTTTAAAACCAGCAGGGGACAATTAAAATAGATATTCTTAACCAAATGGAAGTAATGAGGGGAATGCCGCCTAATTTTTGTGGGTCGCTCTTCCTCCGGGCGCGAAAGGGTCCAAACCTTTGGCAGGTTCGATGAAAACTTGGTTGCTTTCTGCTCTGCTAAAAGTGACTGAACTTTTAGTGGGTTTATTGGGAAAACCCATGAGTTGGCAAAAGGTTAAAGTCCTAACATCCAAGCAAAATGCACCAACAAAAAATCCAAAGTTGTTTCCATAGCATTTCCAAAATCCGCCTTGCGATCTAGGCGATTCGGCCACAAACCTCAGACCAGCCACGAAATCACGAGCAACTCCCCACATGGGGAACCAGCCCCTGAACAGTATGGTCGCCCAGTTTGAGAGGCCCTCGCAAAAGGACTCCCCTATATTTGGCTGGCATCCCCTGGGCAGCGGGTTCTCTCAACACAAGGCCCAAGGTGTTTCCTATTTGGGTGTGTTTCTTCAGCAATCCATTTTTGCTGAGTTCAAAAAATCAAAACAAAACAAAAACGGGAAACCCGCCATTTGGAAAGCTGCAAATCCCAATTTTGACACACATGTTTCCATTTTCTGGCATTGCTTGGTCTCCTTTTACGTGGTCTTTAATCAGCAAGTCCCCAATTTTACAAAGACCCGGCTAAACTAGACTGTTGGTGAAAACTTCCAGGTGTCCCTTTGTAGGGTGAAATGGGGCCACGTCGACTTCCTGGGAAGCGGTCACCGAAATGGATCGAAATCCACTCATAACTGGGCTGTCCTCAGATACCCTTCTAAAAGTGGCTAACTTAAACCCACTGAAAACAACCTAAAAACCTAAAAACCTAAGTTGAACTGGACGATTCACTGGCTGAATCAAGATACGGACCGCAGGTGTCCTTTTGGGAAAATAGATGGCCCTGGTAGATGATTAAACCACCAGGTAAACCAGGAATCGCCCTCTATTTTTCCACCAAACTCCCGGTTTTTTTCCGCCGCGCAGCTAACCGCCGCGAAGCCGACCCCGCGGGCCATACGTCTTGAGCAAACGGAGCCACGGCGGAGCCGCGCGTGAGTTTGCGATGCCAGGGATCGTTTTGGGTCGGTTTAAAGGGAAGCCAACAGAAAACCGCCCTTCTTGTTGCGTTTTGTTGCTGGTGCTTGCTCTTTTCGTCTTTTTTGTTGGGGGTCCGCCTTTGTTCAGGGATTGATTCCCCAATTTCTTCACCGATCGTTCTCTTTGGAAACCACCCATTCTCCGTATAAAGGAACACACTTGGCACATCTTGGCACACATTTGGATAATTTGGAGGAAATGGGCCACAAGTATGTGCTCAGCAAAGGTGGCTAGAAAACATGTGGGGTGATAAGCATTGGTTTCCTACTTCTCACTTGCCCGGACCTGGAAACACAATGTTGACTTGTTGGATCAGGGAAACCAGGAGGTTGAAAGGTCGATTCGCTTTAGCAAGTGAGAAAAAAACCTCACTTCCTGATTGGTCCAAAACAGCTTAGACTTTTTTGTTTAGTACTATTGAAATGGTCTTCCCAAAAAAAATCAAATCCCATGAACTCCGGAAGTGACTCTCTCGCGTCCGGCGCGTCCGCGCGTCGCCGCTTCGGGCTCCCCAGCTGCCGGCACGCTGCACGTAGAAGTTCCGAGTGTTGAAGAGGAAGCTGCCCTTCTGGTAGACACCTGGAAGGAAAACCCAAGTAACCAAAAGTAGAAAGTCCAGGACCTCAGGAAGTGAGATATACCCCCAACAGGTGACTCAGAAAGGACTCAGAATCTGAGTTTACCCCTAAGATGGTCCAAACCCAAGAAGTGACAAAAGTCCAGGAACCCAACTGAATAAGCCGGAGCGGTGGCTCAGAAACCTGGTAAACATACACCTGGCTACTTCCCAGTGGGAACTGGACTAGGTCCTCCAGATTTCAGAGGTTAGAATAAGTTGGTACCGTTTCTTTTTGCTCTTTTCTATTTTAGTAGGGGAACCCAAAACACCAAAAAAGTTGGTGAGAAAGGGCACCTAGCTGGGGAACCTAGTGGAAGTAGCTGGTTGAACTGGGCAGTCACTTAAACCAAATCTGATGGCTGCTGCCGGCCGCGGCGCACCTGTCAATTCCCTCGGCTGGTTTGTCTTTGTTCGCCAAGGCCGCAATCTTCACACGCCAAACGCGTTGATCCGAAGCGCCCAGAAATCTCCGAACTGTTTGGTTACCACCAAAAGTGGTCTTCCCAAAAGTTTGAAGTCAAGCGAAAATAGAAATTCAACTTGCTCGCCGAAAGCTAAGCATTTCGGCCGTTCTTTAAAAACGGGTGGTTTGGAGCCCGATGCTTTGGTGGTTCAGGAGGAGGTTCCCAATTCATCCTCTACAAGAACCAGCGGTTCGTCCACAAACTGCCAACCCAAACCACCAACTCAGGATTATCTGAGAACTGTCCAAAATTTGAAGTATTGTTGCTTTTGGTTTAAACAGAAACAAAAAACAAAAAGTAGGTCAACACCACCAAAAAAGAGGCGCGTTTGGTTTCAAATCCTTCAACCTTAATAAGGGGTGTCCCTAGAGAAAAGGAAGCACCGCTTGTGGACGGGAACACCCTCCCTATGAATAAACATGGGGTTGAGTTTTTTCCGGGGTCCACATTCCCCAGGTTCTGATTGTGGGCTCTTGAAACAGGCCGGCGAGACCGAGCAGTGGCTGCGTACCGTTGCTTCCATCACCAAACACCTGGCGTGCAAATCGCGCGCCTGCGGGAAAGAGTCGCACAAAGTTGCGGATCGTCTTAGCCAGGCGGATTCATTGGCTGGTTTCAAGGGAAAAGGGCAAAGAACACAAACATGTTGAGAACTCACTTCAATCAAAATGGTATAATGTTGCTGGATTCAAGAACCTAACAAAAACAAAACAGCGACTGCAGTTTGGCAATGAGATGGTCCATGATTCTTGTGAGGGACCACAAGACCCTTTTGTAACTGTCCATTTGCTTAAGTCCCCTGGAGAAGAATAATGATACGGCCAATAGTGATAGATTCCCTTTAAAGCCAACAGAGGAACATGAAACTAAAGATTCCCTTAAAGCCAACAGAGGAACATGGAAAGACTCCCTAGCGCACTGGTATTCTTAAGACCCTTGAGGCTCGTGTCCTGCTCATCCACCTTTGTGCCAGAAGTCCAAACCACAGGGCCGGAGGAGAGTTCACCCAGGGAAAAGATACGGACAAAGCCAACTCGACTTGGGTTTGGGGAGCAACAATCTTCAAATTTTAGCAGTTAAGTGGTTGGAAATCAACCACTAAACCACAAGAAGCAAACATGTAAAATGTTTCCCAACAACAACCATGGACATTGCAAGTGAGGGAAAAGGGACACGGGACACAAACAAACTACCATAGTCCATTGTTTTGTGGACCATGGTCTGGTCTTGCAATATTTAGGGCAAGCCCCTTCACCATGAATCGACCCCGAAACAACCTCGCTGTACTTGGCCGTCTGAGTTTTGTAGGGCCACCTCTGTCACCCCCTTAGGCCTTGGGTGCATAGCCTCCTTTGCCCAAGAGCTTCGAGTCTCCTCTTGGGAACCCCCGTTTTTCGTTCCTTCTGTTGACTTACAGGGAGTAACCCTCCCCCCGTAAAAAAAAAAAAAAAAAAAAAAAAAAAAAAACACACACGACACGTTCCTTTACCCGGCCACACCTGCAAAAAGCCGCCCCCGCAGTCGAAGCCGGCGGGCAGCCTGGGATTCGATCCGTTGCGGTTCGCGGGTAACCACGGCTGAGCACAGATCAAACTAGAACCAGGTTCATGTTTGCACTTCCTGAGTACCTATGGCAATTCCATGGCGAACAAAAATGAACTGGCCGGCTAACAAAGCTTGAATACCTGAATTCCTTCAAGTACCACGATAACACCAAGGTGCCATGCTTGAAGTAGAATCCGGTTCCAACTTGCCCCTTCAACGGGAACCCAGACGCTCGGCAGACACTCCATTGGACGAGGCTTCCAAGCCGTTGAGGCCGTCCAAACGGCCCAACAAGTCACGACTGGACCTACCAAACGTGAACTCTGCGCTTCTACAGTTCCAAAGACCCCCATTGGGGGTCATGGGAAAAGGAAGTCGGTTGTGCTATGGGGTCGCTGTTTTCCTTCGGGAAACAATTTGGAAGCCAGTCAAAAGCTACATCCTTGGGAGGTTTTTGCAGAGGCTCGTAGCTGCCATGCTTCTAGGGGCATCAAAGTCAGAAACGAACTGCACGGGGTCATGCTGGGGCAACTCATGGTAAAGCACTAGAGCAAGCTGGGTGTGGCTGAAGACAACCTCACACAACGCGGTGCAGACAGCCTGGAGCACAGGGGGTCAACCTTGACAAAAGTGGGCCCCTGGAGATTCCTGAAGAGCTAGCTTCAATCAAAACGTAAGACAAGCAACAGGTGGCTCTCCTGCCGAACCAAAGCCCTAAAACCAAATCATCTATTGTCTGGAACCTCTTTTTGGGATGCGCCCTGTTTGGCGGTTTACTCAAAACGTGCTTGATCCACCTTCAGTCACAATCCTGTAGGAACAACAAACCGACGACCTTTCCAGCTGGTCTGCATGGCAAACCCTTGAACCTTCCCTGATAATTCCCCGCCCCCTTCGTGCTCACTTCCAAGCTAAGTATGGCACATGTCCCTTTAAGTGGGTAAGTACAGGGATGACGAGTGACCAAAATAGGTTGGACATGTGCCATCTACTTTCACTCTATTGGACCCCAAACAGTTGTTCACCTCCATGTGTTTCACCTCTTTACCTTCTCGTCGGCACCAAAAACGTCCGCTCGAAACAACGAATGGTCTTGGTTTGACTGGGACCCCTTGGCTTTCGAATTGGCCTTCGAATGAGCTTGGGACAGATCTTACCCACGGGACTTAGCAAGGCGTTGCAGCTGATTGCCGGTGTTTCCAGGCGGCTCTGCTAAGCTAACCCTTCGGTATGTCTGCTCCTTCGGTGCTTCGATCTCCCAACGGACTGGGATCGTGACCCGCTTCCCTGCCCTATTTTTCCCCATCAAAACCGTTGGGCCAACTTCCCGTTTTTTTTTTTTTTTTTTTTCCGACCTCTCCTGGCCTTTTTCAGGAAGTTCGCCAGGTCACCAAAATCCCGGGGCTTGGGGCCCAATATCCCTGAAAGACTTGGTGCGGAGAACTTTCAAGGGGATTCACCAAACTTCAAGTAGCTCACCCTTTGGGTATTTCCGAATTCTTTTCTGTCTTCGGCGAAGTTCCTTCCAAAACGCTTCGATGTCCCAGCGGCAGCTTCAAGGCGTCGGTAGCCAGCTCCAGGCCGGAACCGTTGAAGCTCACGCTGCAGCGCTCACCTCGACGAACCGACTCGAAGACTCGAAACGGGGAACGAGGCGAGCGAGCGCCTGGACGCCAGGTAGGTAACAAAGACCAAGTACAAAGACATGAATATAAATATAAGTAACAAATGAAATAAGAACAAACACATGACACATGGTGAAAACAAAAAACAACAATCAAAACAGTGAACAAACACATACATCAGTTGGGTCGAACGTTGCATCCTCATCAGGTAGCAATGGAAGTTTCAGCCTATTCAAATCGGTCAGAGAGCTGTATGCCTCTAAAGCCTACACGGAAAACACGGCCAAAAGGCCTCCGGCAAGCCCCAGTCAACGTTTCCAGCGGCCAAAGAAATTCTGGGGCCAGGACCATTTGCTATTGGGTGGTGTGCACTGACTTTTGCTTTCCCCCCAAACCCAGATGCTGAACTCACCTGGAAAAGCAGAGCAATATATACGCCGCGTCAAATTTGAAGAGTCATTTAGAGGGTCTTAGAGGGTCATGTAGAGCCGTTGTAGAAACCTACATGGATGCTCTGCAACCCGGTCAATATGCATTGTGCCCCCCAACAAAAAGGGGAATTTGGCGAGTAAACCTGTTTTCTGAAGGTGTCCTGCATGGCATCCCTGTGCTAGCAAAAATGAATCGATTGCTCTTATCTGGGGGCTCTCAAAAAGAACCTTGTTTGATGGCTTTAAAGGGGAACCCAAAACAAAAGCAACACCAGCGGTTGTCTATTTTGAGACAACCGAAGCATTTCGTTCTGGCCCGAACCAAATTTGTTGCGACTTGCCGGCCTAGTGCACATGTAGCGCTGTATTGCCGCTTCTGCACGCCCTTCACAATGAGGACCCCCGCCTTCGCAAGAAACGCTGCGCTCGGTCAACTTTTGTGAGTGCCCTGAAGAGCACAACTCCCATGTTCCGGGTACTGCCAATGCAAAGGAAGAGGGTGCTTTGCCCCCCTTGCCACACAAAAACCATCCTCACAGAGTATTTGAGCGCGGAAATTTATCGTAGGTACCCGCGGAGATGACCAGCCATGTATGCCTCCCTTCTTTACCTTAGATACCGCGAAATGGATCCACTGGGCAGGGGGCTCAGTTGACATGGAAGGGGATCATTTCTTCTTGGCGCGCGGAGAGAAGCTACGAAGCCTATCCCGCCAGAACACAAACAACAAGTATGTAGTTGCCTTCATTTCACAAAATCACATGGACCTTCCCCACGGGCGATGCTCAGGTGAGTACCCTCGCACCATGGAACTGGACAGGTGCGGCCGTCTTTCATTTGGGGCACCAACACCTGGAGCCCCCTTGACCCCATGATACCCAATGTTTCTGCCGAACAGAGACCCGCGAGATCCTTCATCCCAAGAAAAGCGGATCCTGTGCCTCAAGCTAATCCCTTGCGGCCAGTGACTCCCCTACCATGAGGCAGGACAGGGAGGTGCTTTGAACAGCTATCTGGCCAGATCCCTTTTGGGCCTTTCAAAGATACAAATATCGGAGACTGGCAGCTGAAGCATGATGTGAGCTCCATAGATGGCGTAACTTCCATCTTAGTTTCCTCACCCTTTACTTACCGACAGAAAAGGAGGTGAACACTTTCACCCCCCCCAGTGCTTCCGATTACCAAAATATGTGTTTTAAGGGACACCATCCATGGTAAAGTTTATGGGTCACAAACCCTGGTGCCTACTATGCGGCGCAATGCCTGGAAGCAGCTGGTGTCTTAATTCGCCTGGCCCTTTACTAGGTCTTCCAGTGGAGAGGCTAGAATAAGGGTACCAACTTTTTTCTGTAGTCTATTTTGGTAGGGGAACCCAAAACCCCCAAAAAATGGAGAGAAAGGGCACCTAGCTGGGGGGACCTAGTTTACATACAGCTCAGCTATAGCTAACTCACAGCCAACATATCGCATCGACGCCTCCTGCGTGAAGTCGGTTCCATTGACGCACGACGCAAACCTGAGACACAAAGGACCCGACTCGCCAGAATCTGACTGAGCCAAAGCCTAAACATTGAACAGGGATCCTTACATTATACGCCTGAACATTGCCTTGTTCATGGTGGTTTCCCTTGATTTTGGTGGAAAAAGCCATGTTTCAAATGAGCAAAATGTATCTTTTAAGGAGCCCTGTTGAAGCCCCGGCGGTTTCCTGCAGCTGAGTGAGCTACAATCCTAAAATCCTCATTAACCAAATCCACAATGGTCAAAAAACACGCAAGGCGGCACCCTAAAGGACCCTGTTAGCCCTAGTCGCTGGCGGGCCCTAGTCCTTGACGGTCCCTGAAGCCAACTGGTCATGACCCAAAAAAAGGGAACCAACAGGTCACTTAATTTCGGGTCGATTCGCTTTGGGTCTTGGGTGACGGTCTACTGGCTATAGTTATGAACTCCCATGTGATCATAGGTGACCTTTTGGGAAAATCGATGGCCCGGGAAAATGGAATAAAAACCATTCTAAACCAGTGCCATCTAATTGTAGCAAACTAACCTAAGACGGACGCCAATGCAAACGCATGTGTTGTTCAAGGAACAACGTCGCGGAGTCGTGGGGTCGCACCTCTTCAAAGGTTTGTTGACTGCGGAGAGGCTAGCTGGGTGTGGAGAAATGGACACCACAGGGAGGCCGCCCCTCTGAAAAGATTTCCCGGCTTTCATATACATCTTGGGATCTGGGGTCCGCCTTCGACGCATCCTCAGGCCTGTTTGGAGCCTTATCCTGGCCTTGTCGCAGTTTGCACCCAGACCTCCAGTGGCCATGAAAGCCACTTTTTCTCGGTTGCGTTCTGCTCCCCGGCTTTTTTTTTATAAAAAAATAAAATAAAAAATAGTGGTGTAATGGAAACCCATTAGTTGGCAAAAAGTTAAAGTCCTAACATCCAAGCAAAATGCACCAAAGTTTTAGAAGGAACCACCCTCCAACAGGAATGAAGGGAAACTGGAGGATCTACTAGCTGCCCCTCCAGAAGCTAAGACTCCAGCACACAGTAGCAAATCCTGTAGCGCTCCGGCACCGTAATCTGCGAGGGACGGCTCGCCCGACGTTTCGTTGCTCGTTTTGCGCGCCATGAGTTTCTCACCCTCCGACAAATGCGGCCTCCCAACAGACAGGGCTCCCGTTCGACCGGATCTTCCGCAAGAGGCAAACGGGAGGCCGTTTGACTGTTTGATCATCCGAGCCGGAGGCCTGATGTATATAATTCATGGTGTCCTGAAAGCCCTGGAAAAGCCTTCTTTGAGTTACCCCATAAAATTGAAAAGGTCTGGATTTGGAACTTCGGCCATGACCTCAGCACATCCTACTTCCTGAGTTGGCCCTTGGCCACTGAACACCCAAGCTGATCACAGCCATCCGGGTATTCGGAGCTTTGATTTGGTGGCCTGGTGGATGCGGTGGGGAGCTATGTTCACCATCCACTCACGGCCATGTGACGGGAACTTGTGACAAGCTCCAGGGTTTGGGCAACAAGAGGCGGTGGGCAATGCCCTTTGACTGAAAGCATTGGTTGCGCTACCCGTCTGAACAACCTTTGATTTCCCGTGGCGCTGTTACTGAAGGGTCTTTTATGGAATTCCCAAGGGGGGTGATTTTAGGTACAAGGAGGTGGGTAGTTGAGGGCCCATGTAGGGGTTTGAGGGCTTTGGCCGCCTTAGAAAGCCTTAGGGACCTCCTGGCCCACGCCCATGGGATTCCACAAGTCTTTCGTTTCCCAGCCCCGCTTTTCAACCTGTGGCTTAGGGGTCCATCGCTCCAAAGTGGAGCGCAACTTGAAACCAAAGGCCGGGTCCCAAGGCCTGAATTTTATAACAGGGATATTGGGCCATCTCCAAATGAACAGCAAACCAGTATGTAATATTGTTCGTTGCTCATATGAGCCAAGGTCATGGTTCCCTCAACAGGACTCATTGTAATGGTTAAGGACTGCCCAGGTGGATAACCATCCCTGGCAAAACCTCGGTGGATAACCATCCCTGGCAAAACCTCAAGTAAAGGAACCGGTCAAAAGTGCCCGTGGCACAGATGATTCGGGGACCCTTGGCGTGAAACACCAGGCTTTGCTTTCCGGCGTGGAGTCTTGGTCCATTGAAACAACACCCCAGAAAGGAAGCAGTAGAACAACAGAATGGCAACCATAAAAGATGTTCAAAACACCAAAGGACTTTTACTCCAATAGGCCAAGTAGCGCAGGTACCTTGACACCTTACCCTCAAAAATCATCCTTGAAGGGCACCAAGGTGCCTAGGATGACGACGCCTGCTTGCATAGTCTGGAATCTTGGCTCGGTCAACAACTCTCATTTGACCCCCACTTCCCGGGGTTGCTCCAAGCGCCAAAGACCAGCCATGCAAACTGCAAGCCTCTGAAAGTTCTGGAAGTACGGTGTACCATTTAGCCATCAGACCATCGCGCTGAGGAGACCCACGGTTTAACGACTCGACAACATTCCCCGCCGTGTCGTAGCGGAAGACTCTACTGGAGCTGCTGCCGGAGGTTGCCTGCAACCAACTCTACGGGATCTAAGCAACCAACCCATAGCGGGGCGCAACATGGCGCAAAAAGGGGCGTTCCTGTTGGTGTCCCTTTAAAACTACAAAATTGAGGGGTGCCCTCAAACAAAGCCAGAGCCAAATGTGCCTCCCTTTGGGCAGGCAAGTAAGCCTGTGTCGAAAGTATTTGGATGCCCACCTAGGTCCTCCAGAGAGGTTAGAATAAGGGTACCTGATTCTTTTTGTGTAGTCTATTTTCGTCAAAGAATCCTCCCCCCAACAAAGGGGTGAGAAAGGGCACTACTGAGGGACCCTGCCACTTCAGGAGGACACCGGGACACACACACACACACACACCCCTTTTCATCAACTGGCTAACATTGGTGCCGTTTGCATATAGCCATTCTTGGCCGACGGCGCAAATGAGTCTTGGCAAAGGCCACCCTTTTCGACCCTACTTGAGGTCAGGTTCCTTGGTGCTCGGCTGACCCAAGTTGGGAAGTACTTAGTCACCCTACAAAGTCGCCTCAGGCTTCGGCGTGCATCCCATTCAAGGCACTGAACTCGGATTGCAGATGGGCCCGTATGGCCCAGTTACCCCGTGGGGGGAAAACTCCGTTTTCGACCGACCTGGTGGTTTAAATCCTGACATTTGTCCATGGCTCCAACCACGTAGAACATCTAACTTGAGGCAATTCCAGTTGTCAGGTCCAGGGAAAATACTACAATTCCCAACTAGCAATGGGTGTGTCTGCTTGAAATTGAACCCCTGCAAAACATGCTTCAGTTTTCTTTTTGGCTTCCCTTAACCGCCATTTTTTGGGGGGTTTCCAACTCCAAGAAGGAACCAACCCCAAATCCAGGACTGCCCCCCTCCCGGGGCCTAAGCAAACAATTGGAAGTCCTACCGCGGCCACAGACTCTGAGGCGGCCGCGATCGCCGACACCCGCGGGCTCGGGTTGAAGTCGTTGATCTGCAACGAAGCTCGGTGGATTCAGTCGGCTTGCGGATCGGTGAAGTTGGCCCAGAAAAACGCGGGCAACGTCTAGCAAGCGAAGAACGGAACGACCCGGAAGCGGGGACAAGCCGACATGGTTGGCGAACTCGAGAGGCTTGGCCAAGATGTGTTTCCAAGCTAACGTGGCTGAAACCCACAAGGTGACCCAAGTCCAGAAGCTCAGGGAGTGAGGGCTGCTACCTTCGCCAACAAAAAGAACACCAAACAAAACAAAGGTAGAACCGTCGCTAGGGTTTCTTTTCGTTGGCCTTTCTGGAGGCCCAACTGATACCAGAATGTGCTGATCAAACTCTAAGCCAAGATTTTCCCAGTACTTCTCACTTCCAGATCCACCCAAATAGCAGCGCATGGACCATTTGGGTGTGAGCAACATTGAAAAGCCACCGCAGGTTTTAGTCTACTTGTCCATTTACCAAGGCAGCCCATTTTGAGCAAGTTGTCTCACTTCCTGAGTGGATTGGCAAAAAATGTCCTTCTTTCCTATTTCCCACTAAAATGTCGTCAATGGTCGTCCCAAACCCAACAAGTGACGAAATCTACAGTCCTTTCACGGAGCTCCGGAAGTGAGCGGGTTCCTCTGCGTGCCCCATTGCGCGCCTGCGCCTGTGGTTCCATACCGCACTGGCTGGAGATGGGCAATGCCTTGGGCGACGAGCAAAAGGAATTGAGAAAAAGAGGACCAAGAGAGCATAATTCCCACACATATATCAAGCAAATAGAAGGGCCCATTACAACGGCCCATGTAAAACTTGGTAGATCCCTGTGAAAACAAGCGCTTTTTTAAAAGAGGCGCGCGCCAAACATCCCCCTGCGCTCTGGTCAAGTCCTCTGCCACCTCTCTGCCTTCTCCTTCTCCTTCGGCAGTTCGGGCTTCCTATCTTCCAACGGCAATGGCTGAGGGCAGTTTGTGAGTGCCGCAGGGCTCTTCAGCCCTCCGCGTGGCACTCAGGTACGGCCTGCCCTGTTCATCTTCGAACACGTCCACCACGTCAGAAGCATAGCACAAGACAAATCAGAATACGGATAAGACAGATAAAGAACGAGAATAATAAGTGGAAGCACAAGATGAAGACAAATCAGAATACTAGCAACAAAGTGGACAAAAAGAAGACGAAGAAGAAGAAAAGGACAAAGAACAAACGCATCAACATCAGCGCCGGCAAATAAGAAACAGGCCGGCCAGAGTTCGCGGCCCAAACAGGCGGGACCCTAAAAGCCACTGTGACAGCAATAATCGTAAGTAAGATCAATCACAATCATAAGAAGGCTTGGTTGACGTTGGAAGGGGAGCAAAACAAAACTTTAGCAGTTAAGTGGGGATTTCCCACTAAAACACAATAAGCAAACATGTAAAATGTTTCCCAACAACAACCATGAAGGGGTGACAGCATGAACAACATGCAACTGAACACTGGAATACTGACTGGCACTCACATATAGAAAAACATACGCTAGAAAAGCCAAAGGATACCGACAATTTCCCACGAGGAAACACATCAAACACCGGGGCACAGAAGAGTAATAAGAAAAAGGGACACACACGAAACACATACACATCTAGGATCTCGGTGGCATTAAATCAGCAACGATTCAAGATGCATCCCCTAATCAAAGGGGAGGAGCCATCTTGGACCAATCATGGAGCGGGGTGAATATGCGCGGCCTCCGAAATCAGCTCAAACTTGCAGCAGTTCTCCCAAACAATGTCTGGAAAATGAACCCACATGGATATCCAAAGTTGTTCCGTGTTCCAGCAACTCCGCCCTTTATCTGGGTAAGGGGATGACTAGACCAACATTCAGGATTGCTTCTGTGGAAGTCAAAAGGGCTTATAGTGCTTCCTTAGAAGCGGCTAGGGCTCTTACAGGGGGGCTCCTTCCTCCTTTGGTTAGCCTTCCAACGTGACTAAGGCGAGGCTGTTGAAACAACTTCCTGGCCTTGACATGTACGTGAAAAACTTACTTTTTGCAAGCCAACCACAAATAACGAATAGAACCAACCTATTTAAAAAAAAAAAAAAAAAAAAAAAAAAAACATAAAGCAAAAACATGAAACTACCAATATGCCAAACAGACAGAAACAAAACATTAAAACCAATCAACAGAACCGAAAACTAAAATAACATGCCAATAACAGTGAAGAGCATCTGTAATCACCTTCACAACCCTTGGTCCCTTGGTATGGTAGCGAAAAAACTTGTTTTCTGCAGCCCCCTTCCAAAAATGAAGCAATAAAGAAAAGAAAAGACAATAAGCACTTGCAAAGACTCACCTCCTGAGTGGATTGGCCAAACAAAGTCTAAACTTTCTATCACTAAAAAAATGCAACTAAACCAACAAAAAGTAACATTCAGTGCTTTCAAGTGACATTCAGTCCTTTCACGGAGCTCGGGAAGTGAGAAGTGCACCAAAGCGCATCTGAGACGCCAAGATAGCATCCGTGGCAAGGAGGTCGAAGCCAGCCACGGTCAGCTGGCACCTCGGACGAAACGCGAGAAGCTCCGCGGATTTTATTTTTTGTGTGTGTGTGTGTTTGTTTCTTGATATTTTGTTTTCAGTTCTTTTTATAAAGTGGTTTCCTATCAAACAAAAAAAAGCGGAAGACAGCGGCAGTTTACTGGGCCCGTTTTCAGATCTGCTAAAATTCATTCACTTGTGGGATTAAAAAAGGGAACCCGACCACAAAACCATAAGGCCGGTTTTCTGATCCCCGGCTAAATATGATTAACTTTTGGTGGGTTGAATTCGACAAATACCACTAAACCAACTACAAAGCTAAACAAAGCTAAAAAGCTAAGGAATCGGATGGCTGGGAGCCATCAAGTTTTGCACAACCCGGTGCTTCCAGGCGTTTCGCCATCTCTAGGGTTCTATTGATGGCAACTTAGATGGGTGTCTTTTTGGTGAGGGCGCCCATGTTTTAGACCAAGACAAAAACACACACCATTTGGGGGTCCGGTTCCTAAACAAGACGAGCCCCGCATATGAGTGTCAACTGTAATAGACCCTGACATCACTTAGACCAGGTGCAACCACTTTTGCGACGGGTCCCTACAAATCACTGCCATGGACGCACACATACGGAATCCCCAAAGAACTGAGCTTGTTCTAACTTGCCCAGACGCATCCATCGAAAACAAAAGCTCAACAGAAACAAGGTGCTCTCGCTTTCAAGGGCACCCCCGGTTGCGGTGTGTTGCGTGTGTGCATATATATATATATGTCTTTGTCTGCTTGCTTGCCTTGTGTTGTTTGACGTGTTTGTGTCCTCTGTTGTTTGTTTGCGCTCTTGGGCCGGAAGGGAAACCTAGCGGAACCACTAATCGTGGGACACACTCATCCCGTTCAAACGAATCACACCAGAACGAGTCACACAAAAATCACATTGGCAGCCGAAAGGAAGGGTGTTTCAACCATCTAAACGGGAAAACCACAACGACGTGACCTAGATTCAAAACGCATGTCATGGCCGATCAACGTAAACATTATAGAACCTTCAAAAGGCGCAAGTCACACAGAAATAATGGAAGACACAGCTAGCTCGGCCAGGGCACAACCGAGATATGAATATCTGGCGAGGCATGTGTACGTGCAAAAAAGGACCCCCCAAAATAGGCCGGTTTCCCTTTGCGGTTCACCCGAAAACAGAACAGCCAGTCCCATGCTTTTGACTCAATAAAGAAGCTGCAAGCAAGCCACTGGAAGCCATTTAATGTTCTTTTGTGCCCGGTCTCACAGGAGCAACCGTGCGCTTCCTGTGTTGGGAATCGCGGATTATTCGCTGCGGCAGACCACAACTTAGCGGCTTTCAAGGCATTGCTGTGATTTTGAAGGGGGCCTTCAGGTGTATTTTTAAAAATAGCGTCTCCACAAATAACGGCTTGGTGAATCTGCAGGGGAGTGGAACCAACATTACCCAAATGGAACCTACTATAAGGGGCAAATCATCAGAATGGGGTCGTGGCTAGGTCATAACGTCCGCGCGTGGAGGTTGACGCCCAAAGTTGGCATGTGGCCATGGGGCATAACCTATGGCTCCATTTTGGGGTGGATGAACATCCATTTGCCACCTATTTTGAGGTTCAACAGGGGTACAGGGTTTTGACCCAGAGCCATGTGGCCATGGGTCAAAAGCCCGCACCCCCAGTGAACCTCCCAATCCAGAACTAAAATAGGTTCTAAAATGAGTGGTGAATTCACCTACCCCAAAATGGGATCCCATAATTTTTTAAACCACAGCCATGTGGAAAAAACCGAAGGCCCGCCAATGGGAAAGGCTCCAGCACGCCCCCAAACCCCGCGAAGAGTCCAGGCACGTGGTGAATTCCGCGCACTCGAAGAGCTGCCCGCTCGGCACGCCGCGCACACGCAGCTCCCCGGCCGGCATGTCCAGGTCCTGCCGCTCGAAAAAGCCAAACCAGAGGATGTGTCTGGGTGTCTGCGTAGATGCTAGGACCTTTACCCTTTACAAGCGCCAGGTGGCTGAAATCCCAAACTAAGGGCTCACTTGTGAAGTGGATTGGCCAAAAACGGTCAAAGCTTTTTGTTTACCACTACTAGGTCCTCCAGTAGAGAGGTTAGAATAAGGGCACCGTTTCTTTTTTCTGTAGTCTATTTTAGTAGGGGAAACCTCCTAACCCAAAAGGGCACTACTGGGGGACCTAGGATGTGTCCGGTGTCCAAGTGTTTGTGCGTCTGTGTGTCTGCGTGTCTGTGCGTCTGCGTAGATGTGTCTCTCTCTCTCTCTCAGTGTGTCTGTGTACCGCTGTGTTTATGTCTGTATACCGGTGTGTCTATGTCAGTGTACCGGTGTGTACCGGTGTGTACCGGTGTGTCTGTGTACCGGTGTGCCCTTAGTCCTTGTGTCTGTGTCTCTGTGTCACCAACCTGAAATACTAAATGGCCCCAGAAAGGAACCACTGCTGAGGTCAGGTCGCCCCCAGGCTGCCATAAGCTTCCCAGCTTCTTCATTGATGCGTGGGAAGCCCCCAACAAACAAGCCACCCGACTTGTCCTTTGTTGTTGGTCTCCCCTTTAGTGTTTTTTCTTCTTTTTTTCCCAGGCCATTTCCAACCCAACCTTTCGTCTTTCTGTGTCTCCCGACCGCCAGGGACTGAGTCTTTGGCGTTGCCAAACACCGCACGGATTGCGCCGGCGCGGAACTCGTGCAGCTTATTTCGACCCAGTGCGTCCGGATTAAAGTGGCCTCTCCAAAGTCATCCTCCAAATATGGAAAACAACCCAAAAACAGAATCTTGAAAATCCCTCAAATGTTCACTTTGGACCCAGCCCCGGTAAAATCCAGTGCTTCCAGACAAGCAACTATCGTAATTAGTAACCATCCATGGCAAAGTGCTAGATTATCTGCATAGCTGCGATCCACTGGGAAACCGATGCCCAAAATGAATCTGAGCCAAGCACTTGAGCTCCATCTCCCATTTGGCTGCGGGTCAAAAATAGTTGGTACCCCTACATGGGAGCCCTGGAAAATGGAAACCCGGACTAAAACCTGCCGGCTTTTGTTGGTGGCTTAAAAATTTGCCCCATACCCACTTGGTTGCTTTCTGCTCTGCTAAAAGTTTAACTCACTTTAGTGGTTTGATACGGAAAACCCATTGGCAAAAAGTTCAAGTCCTCACATCCCGCAAAATGCACCAAAGGAAAAGCCAAAGTTGTTTCCATGACACGTCCAACGTGCGATCTAGGCGATTCGGCCACAAACCTCAGCCATGAAGGTCGGGTCGGGTTATCCTAGGCTAAAACTAGGACCCCAGTAAAAACAAAATGCCCAGTGGAAAACCAAGGGCCCCCCAAAAAAGCCGAAAAAAAAAGCCAACAAAGCCAAACCCAAAAACAAACGCCAAACAAACCCAAAAAAGCTAAAAAAAAAAAACATACAAAACGGGGAGCTATTTCTGGGGAAGTTCTCCAAGTGAGACCCTTCACCATAACGCCGTACCTCCGGGCTCTGGCAGGAGATCTCGGCCTGCGGCCAGCTTTCTTTTTTCCCGAGGGAAAACCGCTGGTGGCCCTTAGTTAGGGTCGTCACCGGCCTGCAGGAAGTTGTTTTCCCCAAAAAAACGCTGCTGGCCTAAGATGGTCGTCAACCTCGGAGAAGCGTACCATATTGTTGGTTCCCCATTGAGTAAGGACAATAAGTGGATCCCCAGGCAATCACTGGCGGCCCTTAGGGTGGTCGTGACCCTCGGAATCCGGAGGAACTCAATTCAGGCGGGCATGAACTCAATGTGTTGGCCAACCTTGAAGAAGCGCACCCTAATTTTGGCTGCTTCCCCTTTGAGGAATCCGGAGAAGGAACTCAAATTCAGGGGGCATCCACTCAATGTTTGGCTGGTGAACTCATTTTTTTGGGGGCAGGTTCCCATTGAGTGAGGACATGAATCTCCATCTTGGGGGGAACCTCACATTGGTGTCCGGATTTGTCCGAAGGCACTGGGAAAGAAAAAGTGTCTTGTGTGTAACCTGCAGTGGACACACACGTCTTGATTTTGCTTTTTGGTTGCGCTGTGTTCATTGCTCGTAGTGGCATGTAATGGGTAGTGGTCATGTCCATTTCCCTTTCTAGCGTGCGAGAAAACTGTACTCAGTGCTTCAAGGCAAGCCACGGAAAGTAGGCAACCGGGGCACACCATGTAAAACACAATGGGAACAAATACTGAAGGGTGACATACAAACGATATTGGCAACTGGAAGCAACGGGCAGGACAGGACAAAGCTGTTACTTGCGCTTGCCGAGTCATGAGAAACGCCAAGCATCCCCCTCCAGAGAAAGGGGGAGTTTACCCAACTCCATTCTTCTAGTCTTCCCAGTATGTAGAAATGTATATATACACACTGTTTTCTTTTAGTAATACCTCAGGATTCCGACTTGCAGAGGGCCCTTCAGTCCTTACGTGGTCCTACGGAGCATCCAAACCACCACTGCATGTCTGTAGGGGACTAAATTTCGATGGGTTCTTTTAGGAGCCTTTTGGTGGACATCACTTGAGGACCTCATGTCCGCCAACACAAGTTTCTTTTCAAAATAACGACCACTCTTTGCTCAAACACGTTTTTGATTTTTTGGTCGAGTCATTTCCACACAGAGCTCCCCAGGCCACTCGACTGAGATATTTGGTCACAAGTTTGCAACCTAAGCTGTCCAAACTGAGTGTAAGCCTCTTGACCATTGGGTCCAGTTGAGTGCCCGGTACATTGACGATGATTGAGGGTGTTGTAGGCCTTGCCATAATCCTACCTAGTGCTTCCGGGCAAGCCACTATAGTATGTAACCAGAGGAAACCGTCATGTCAAACCAAGAGGTATTTTCCTGGTCTCCTAGTATAGCTATATAGGCCTTCCACAATCCTACTGGGAATCGAAGAAATCCGTTTGCACCACCTGAGAAAGCATGGAAACCAGAAACCATTGCTTCCTGGTATTTGCAAAGGAATCATGATTCCAGGGTTTCTTAGGTGGTGCAAGATTTCGTCCATCCACAGTAGTGTAGTAGTGAAGCACCTACTGTCCAGTGACAACATTTTGCACCAGCATACGGATTAAACCCTTTAAGTACATGGATAGCTTGGGAGAAACCAACTACCGACTGGTGCCAAATTTTGTCCATCCGCAGCATTGACATATATCAACTGGCCCTTTTGGGTTTTTGGGCACAGCTCAGCTGACTCTTGGAAAGTCGATCTGAGATGGTTGACCCGAGGGCCAAGAAACAAAAACATGCCACCATCTTATGTTGAAAGATGTGGCCGTGGGTCTACATAGGTATCCAACAGGGATTGCCTTGGTCAAATTAAACACGGACAAACACCTGCGGTCCATATCGTGGTGGCTCAATTTTGATCCATAACCATATGCCTTCCTTCTGGGTTTCCCTCTTTTTCGTGGTCTTCGCACTGGTTGTTGAAACCAACTTTGGAAATCAGGGGTTTCAGGACTGAAGACCGATGCCAAAGTGGTTGACCACCAACCTGGGGCTATCGCCCGTGCAAACCAGCTGTCTTTTGGCTGGTTTGTAGACGAATGCACATGAGGGTTGATGAAAATTCAGTTTGGCCCCCCAAATGACCACGATTAACTTATTCCACTAAGTGAGAAATATCATTGTTTAGTGGTTTCCCCAAAGGTCATCCCATGTAAAGCACCTTTTGATCAATCCCCAAAATGCTCCCAAACTGTTGAGGCTAGAGATCCAACCAAATGGCAGTTGCAAGCGGAAAGCATGGTCAGTTTCTTAGGCAGACCAATTACCAATTGAACCAGTTTCCCATTACTCGCTGGTTTTGATTGGTGATTTGATGAAAGGGTAGTTTCCCTTTTTCCTTCACAATCAAGAGTTCAAGTCCGAATCCAAACCACCCATCCAAACCAAAGCGACCAAGCGGTACCTGATCAAGGGGGGGTCCCCAAAAATAACAGACCCCCCGAAAAAAAAAATGAACCCAAACCAAAGCGACCAAGCGGTACCTGATCAAGGGGGGGTCCCCAAAAATAACAGACCCCCCGAAAAAAAAAATGAACCCAAGCCAAAGCGACCAAGGGGTACCTGATCAAAGGGGGGGGTTAAACACGGAACCTCGCAGTCCTGGAGGACCTGAAATTGGGAGTATCCCGTCGCCATCGCGACAAACTTTTTCGCCAAGAGGCTGTGCCGCCAGTACCGGGGGCGCAGTAGCACATGACGTAGCTGCCCAAGGGCAAAGACCCCAGCCTCGGGACGACATTGGAGGACCTCAATGAGGTTTGTCTTAAAATAGGGGACCCAGCAAATGCCTGGTTTTCCATTTGGTTTCCTTTTGGCTTTCCTTTTGGTTTCCCTTTTGATGTCCTTTTGGTTTCCGTTTTTTTGGCTCCAAAAGGGGTATCAACAAAAGATGCACTCAACGGACCCCCAATGTGTAAACGCTGAGAACGCAAAAATAGGACATCCCCACGACACAACTTTACCACCTACGACCCGGAACTTTCATCAAAAAAACGGCCACTAAAACCCCTCTATTGGGGTACTGGAGGAGCAAGATACACAAGGCTTACCTACTAAACCATCCGCTTTGTTGCAACCATCCGCATTTGTCCTTCCATGTGCGTTCTCCTTCTCCTGGGCAAAAATGAGAAAATATGTCCAGAAATGAAATCGATTCCTTCTAAAGCCAACAGGGGGAAACACATATTCTGAAGCACGCGGAAGCGAAGGGGGTGGTTATTACCCAGGGATTCCATTTGCCAGTATTCTTTGGGAAGAGGAACCACTGCTTCCAGGCGTTTGCCCACTACTAGGGTAATGGGGGAGCAAAACACACAAGGCTTGCCTACCATGATAGCGAAACCGCTGGACGCACGGGCCTCTATCAACATAGACTGGGATGGGGTACCATTGAGGTGCCTAGTGCTTTCAGTGATCGGTATGGTAGGTAAACTGGTATCTTTGCCTCTAGGCTTTTCATCATGGATTTTCCTGGTTATCTCTAGTGAGTCACTGGAAGCTCTGGCCTAGATTCTCCTCATCCGGGAATACGGTGCGCAAACATGGGTGTGTGTGTTTTTCTATTGCAGCCATTGTGTTGCTGTTTTTAAGGGAAACCAAACAACTTTCGAAGCCATATCTCGCTCTAGAATGTCACCCTTCCCCTGGATCGATGCATGCACACAAGCTTACTTGTCTAGCTTTCCCCCTGAAAAGGAAAACAACTGTAAAACAGGAACCAAGTTTGGCCCCATGAAAAGTAGACAGTAACACAACGACAAGTAACAATGTGGTTACTTATGGCAGCTGTGGGCGTTACCGCAGCAAATCCTTCTTGAGAAACTAAAAAGTGAAAACCTGCCAGAAGTAAAACCAGTTTTACTGTTTGATGTTCTACGTGTAAGTGCTCATGGGTCCAAATGCTTGCTTGCTGTTACTGGGAAAAGTGAGAAGAAGTAAAACTTCTAATTAGGAGTGAGAACAACTTTTGCCGCTGTGCATCTTGCTTCTCATCGGTTCAACTCTAACATGGTTACCTTTGCACTAGGGAAAGTAAAACAGAACTGCCAGAAGTAGACGTGTTGTTCACATTGGAACCTAGGTTTAACACATCATTGCCTTAGAATCAGTGCCAAACCAACACTAAACTAGTATTGAGCTGTCATAAACAAATGCCAATATGTATTGCATTATACATATAATTATCCAAAGGGACTTGTGTATTGTTTGAGGGGGGTTCATTATGAATCTCGGATACCAATTCCTCCATTTTCTTAAGTCCCCTTCAAAAAAGTATTCCCAGTAGTGAACTTCATTCCCTTTAAAACCAACAAGGGAAAACATAGTCATTTCAATGGAAGTTCACTTCAATTGGTTCGCAGGCTTGCTTGTTTGATGTTGGAAGGGGAGCAACAAATAAACTTTTAGCAGTTAAGTGGGGATTTCCCACTAAACCACAATACTAGGCTGGAATTAGGACCCCAGCGAGAAACAAAAAAAATGCCTGGTTAGTGGAAAACAAAGGGACCCCAAAAAAGCAAAAAAGGAGAAAAAGGGGAGCTAATTCTGGCTGGAAGAATAAACAAAATGTAAAAGGTTTCCCAACAACCATGGAGGTGGCCTCGAAATGGCTGATTTCCTTTTGGTCGCCCTTTCAACCTGAAAGTTGTTCCCTCACAACACACAGCATCGACCCCTCGAGGAATCTTCAAGAGCTTCTCGTAGGTTCGGGGAGCCAGCGTATTTCCAAGGGGCCCAACAACCAATGGCAAAGTGGAGGTCATCAAAAACAGGGTTGGGGTTAGAAATAACGGGTGCCCCTAAGCAGAAAGGTTTAGGTGTTGGTCCAGGTAGTTTCACCTCAGGGTGATGTTGTAAGGGGAAATGCAGGGAACACTTGAATCTGTTTTGTTTCAGGTTGGACCCACAAAAATTGGAGAAATCATGTTTTCCTTTAGGTTTCCCATTAACCCAACCCCAAAAAGCCTACCAACTCAAAAATAACATGTAAAAAAAAATGTTTTACAAAAAAAACAACAATACGACACACGCAAAGAACATAAAATCACGGGTGCCTCCCGTGGCGTGGTTTGCTTCCCTTCTGTTTGCCGCTTGCTTTGGGCCCATGGGACTGGATCGCTCCGAGCGGCTCGAAGCTGGCCGAGGATGCGCCGGTTTTTTCCTGCGCCGGGAGAAGCGGCCTGGCGGGACGGCGGACCGCTGGGCCCGAAAAGGAAGCGACCGGACGGCGCAAAATGGGCTCTACAGACCTGGATAATAATCATATACATACATATACATACATAATATACATACATATACATACATGTAACCATATCATATGGTCCAAATTCCAAGATCTCTATATATATATATATATATATATGCAACCTCCAGATCCACTGATCTTGCAGGTATAGTATCCACCAGGTGCTGTGTTTGTGGGGCGCAAAATGGAGGAAGGGTCATACTTCCATTTCTTGAAGGTCCCGAACTTGTCATATTCCCAAACCCAAGCATCCCATCGATGGAAGCAGCTCCAACATTCGCTGAGACCCCGAAAGCAACTCGGGGAATCCTGTGGATGGACAGAATCCAATTCGCACCACTTTGAAACCATGGAAAACCATTATTTGTTAGGGGAATCATCCTTCCAGGGTTTCTTAGGTGGTGCGACATGGATTTCGTCCATCCACAGTAGTAAAGGAAACCCCAAACTCTGCATACCAAGCCAAGACCCTGAGGTTCAATGCATTTTTCAGGACGGTTTCGAAAGGACACCAAGGCAAAACCACCCATGCGGTTCCCCATCTTATGACACATTCTCATCTAGCAATCGGCAGTCATTAATCCTTTGGTGCCCTAAAACGTTTGCATGGATTTGGGAGTGAGGATGAGTCCCCATTCTTGATATCTTTCGTTTTGGAAAAACGAGGGCACCTGGTTTTTGCCTTTTGCCCGGCCACCGGTCGCCTTAAAATGCCCCTCTGGGGGCGCGTTGAAAACCTTAACCGCTGCCACAAAGCCAACAAACATGACACCTCAGCTTTTAATCTGAGCAATTGCCCAACGCCGGGGCAAAAAACAACTCAGGGCTCGTCTCTGGCAGGTACCGAAGCCACCAAACTCGAAACCCTCACTTCCAATCGAGTGGGTTGGCCCAAAGAAGCAACCATACTTGTGTCATCTACAAAAAAAACAAACATATTTTAAACCTACCACCAAAATGACCTCCTCAAAAGGTTAATAAAAAGTCCAGAGATTCAGGGATCTGTGTGTGTGCATCCTTGGAGATCCTGCTGACGGGTTTCAGAAGTGCCCTCTGCAGCTAACTGATCTGTCCCATCACCCGCGTGCCCGCGCCTGGAAGGAAGAGATACGGGAAACCCAAGCAGAAATCAGAAATTTTGCCATCAACACCCCGCACCCCCAGTGAACATCCGAACATCCGATTCAATCCCCACTAAAACAGGTGCACCTACCCCAAAATGGTACCATGTTTGACCCACAGCCATATGGGTCAAAGTCAAACCACCAGGAATTGGACCACAGGTTTGAATGTCCTTGTTTCCATTTGCCCGGTTTCTTTTGAGTACCTATTTTTGACCCACACCCATATGTGCAGATGATGTTTGACATTTGGTCTACCCTAAAATAAGTATAGTTTTCGGAGGAGACCCCAGAAACAAGCACACCTTCTTGTTGGCTTTGCAGGGATCGCGCCCCCCCCCCGGCAAAAAAACAACAACGGGCATGTGGAAGCAAAATGCCCTCCTGAGCACTGCACCCCCCTTCCATGATGGACACCTGGTGTCTACTTCGCAACCTCCTTCTTCGGGGTATTGGCTTTTACCGTTGCTGGCTGCCAAAAACAACTCCAATCGCCCGTGGCCACCCTCCCCCGGCGCCCCACCCTTGCGCTGCGCCGATTTGTTTGGTCCGATTTTCGTCTCCCTGAAACGAGGTCGAACCACGGGAAAGGGCCGGCTTGGCCTTGCGGCTTCTCTTGCGCCGTTCTGTTGTCGGTGTCGTTGTCGGTGTCGTTGTCGGTGTCGTTGTCGGTGTCGTTGTCGGTGTCGTTGTCGTTGAATTAGTTTTCATCGCTGTTGTTGACAGTTGCTGGTTGTTGGTTGTTGGTTGTTGGTTGTGGATTGTGGGTTGCGGGTTGTTGGTTGTTGCTTGTTGGTTGTTGCTTGTTGGTTGTTTTTCGACGTTCATGTTGTTGTTGATGTTGATGATGATGATGTTGTTGCTGCTGCTGTTGCGGCTGCTGCTGCTGTTGTTCTTCTT